GGCGTGCGACGCTTTGATACTCAAACAAACCGCTCTTGCGTTTGCGGATACTCAAGGAACTAGCCTGCAGACGCGTTTGCGTTTGCGGATACTCAAGGAACTGGCCTGCGGACGCGTTTGCGTTTGCGGATACTCAAGGGACCGGCGTGCGACGCTTCGATACTCGAGCAATTCGCGTTTGCGTTTGCGGATAATCAAGCAACTGGCCTGCGACGCTTCGATACTCAAGCAAACGGCTCTTGTGTTTGCTGGTACTCAAGCGAAACGCCCGTTAATGTACTCAAGGGACCAGCGTGCGACGCTTTGATACTCAAGCAAGGGACCGGCGTGCGGACGCTTCGATACTTGAGCAACCGGCCTGCGACGCTTTGATACTCAATCAAGCGCGGATCTCCGTATTCCTCTTTGCGTTGTTGCGGATCTCCATATTCCTCTTTGCGTTGTTGTGGATCTCAGTATTCCTCTTTGCGTTGTTGTGGATCTCCGCGGATCTCCATATTCCTCAAGTTATTTGCATTGTTTTGCTTTTGCGGAGACGACGATTCATACTCAAGTGTTGCGGATCTCCGTATTCYTCAAGATATTTGCGTTGTTTTGCTTTTGCGGAGACGACTATTCATACTCAAGTGTTTTGTGGTGACTCATCAAGGGATCTTCGTTGTTTGCAGAGATCTCCATATTCCTCAAGTTATTTGCGTTGTTTTGCTTTTGCAGAGACAACTATTCATACTCAAGTGTTGCGGATCTCCATATTCCTCAAGATATTTGCGTTGTTTTGCGGAGACGGCGATTCATACTCAAGTGTTTTGYGGTGACTCATCAAGGGATCTTCGTTGTTTGCGGAGATTCTTTGTGGTTACAAGAATACTATTCAACGACTCAAGTGATTTGTGTTGTTTGCGGAGGAGACTTAACTCAACAACCAACCATTTATCATTCAAGTCAATCTAATTGCGGCACAATTGATTCATCACAGACCAATCTGTCTGAAGGGTGTAGTGCCAAGCTAATTTGTCTACTGACCAGCCAGCTCCAATG